AGTACTAAGTACCAGGCACTATTCTGGGTGCTTAGGATATAATAATGAAGAAAATATCCCTTCCCTTGTGAAACTTACATTTTAGTAGGGGGAGACATATTTTAAAAAATAATAAAGTAAATTATATAGTATATTAGAAAATGATAAGTGTAGCTGTAGTCTGAATGTTTATGTCCCTCCAAATTTTATATGTTGAAATCCTAACCCTCAGGGTAATAGTATTAGGAGGTTGGGGCCTTTGTGGGGTACTTAGATCATGAAAATGGAGCTCTCATGAAAGAAATTGTGCCCTTATAAGAGAGGCCCCACAGAACTAGGTTGTCCCATCTGCCATGTGAGGTTATAGTGAAAAGATAGCCATCAGTGAGGAAACTGTCACCAGACACTTAATCTGCCAGTATCTTGAGTTTGGATTTCCCAGTCTCCAGAACTGAGAAATTTTTGTTCTTTATAAGTCGCTTAGTTTATGGTGATTTTGTTTTCACAGTCCAGACAGACTAAGATAAATGCCATGGGAAACCTCCAGCAGGATAAGGAGGATGAGAATTCATAGGTTTGGGGAAATGTGGGTTGTAATTTTAAATGGGATCAAGGCAGGCTTCATTGAGAAGCCTGAATACTTGACATATATACTGATACTGATACTTGAATAAAGCAGTTCTCAACTGGGTGTGCTAGTTGCCTAAAATGGGTAGCCCTTTCCTTCTCCAGGGGACCTTCCCAACTGAGGGATCAAATCTGGGTCTCCCAAGTTGCAGGCAGATTCTTTACCATCTTTTATTTTTTCCACAGGAGACATTTAGCACTGTTAGAGAAATTTTTGGCTGTCACCACTGGGGGGAGGTTGGACAGTGCTGCTGGTATCTGTCTAGTTAGTAGAGGCCAAGGATGCTGTTAAAACATCCTGCAATGCAAGGAATTGACAATAATGCCAAGGTTGGGAAGCTTTGGAATTAAGACTTAAAGGAAATGAGGCTATCTGCCATGTGGAGGTCTGAGGGAAGACCATTCTAGGCAAAGAGAACAGCCATGGCAAAAGCCCTAGGGTAGGAGTGTGGCATGCTTTCTGGAGGAACTGAAAGTACACCCAGAAGAGGAACAGGAGATGAGGTAAGATGATTAATATGGGCCAGAACATGTAGTACCTTAGAGGTTGTTGTCGGGACTTTGGCTTTTATTCTGAGCTATTGGAAGTTTTGATTGGAGGAGGAGGAATTTCCTGATTTAGATTTTAAACAGGAGCACTCTGGCTGTGGTATTGTGTATGAATTATTGTGGGGAAAGGTAGAAGCAGGGAGAGACCGGTTCTGAGGCCCTGTGGTAATCCATTGAGAGAGATGTGGACCAGTGAGAGCAGCAGTGGAGGTGGGTATATCTTGAAGATAGAACTTCAGGATTTCTTGATGGATTGAATGAAAGATATAAGAGAAAGAGAGGAGTGAGAGATGGCTCTAGGTTTTTTGGAGGACAAAATGGAACAGTGGAGTTACTATTAACTGAGTTGGAAAAGGCTGTGGCAGAGCAGGTTTGAGCAGGGGGAGGTTAGTAGTTCAATTCTGGATATAATGCACTGAGATACCTATTAGGCATCTGAGTGGATATATTAAATAGGTAGTTGGATCTTTTAGGATGAGGTTCAAAAATTGGAAATCTTGGAGTTGTTAACATGTAGATGCTATTGAAAATCATGAGACTGGAAGACATCCTCAAGGGAGTGTAGGTAGAAGTGAGAACAGGAACTGAGCCCAGGGGCACTCCCATTTTAAGAGATCTGAGAGGAGAAGATGAACCAGTAAAGGTGACTGAGAAGCAGCAGGCAGTGAGGTTGGAGGAAACCAGGAGAGTATGGTATGCTAGAAGCCACGTGAAGACTGTGAACTGAGGAGGAGAGGCTCATCAGCCATGTCAGTGCTGCAGGTGGGTTAAGATGAGGACTGCGAATTAACAATTGAACTGCATACCATAGGGGTCATTGGTGACTGCAACGGAAGCTGTTTTGGTGGAGTAGTGGGGACCTGATTCAGGTGGGTGAACAGGAAGTGAGGAATGGGAGGCAGTGACTATAGACAATTCTTTTGAGAGTTTTGATACAAAGAGGAGCAGAGAGATGGAACAGTGGCTGGCGGGGAAAGTGGGGTCGAGAAGGTTACTTTTCTTTTTAAAGGTAGGAGAGTAAGAAAGGCATGCTTATATATTGATGGGAATGATCCAGTAGTGAGGGATGAAAATGATGCAGGAGAGAAAGAAGGGAGAATTGGTGGAGCAATGAGTTTAAATAAGTTTATGTTTTTTATTCCTCTGTTTCATTTTAGTGGGATTTTTAAGAGGACTAGTCTGTTATTTTAACCAGAAGGCCCTTTCACTCTTAAAAAAATTATTTTATTGAGGTATAATTGACATGCAGCATTGCCTAAGTTTAGGGATTTGATTTGATGCATTTATGCAGTTGATCCTTGAACAATACAGGGATTGGGCACTGACATTCTGCCGTCGAAAATCCACCTATAACTTTATAGTCAGCCCTCCATAGCCTTGGTTTTCCCATATCTGTGGTTCTATATCTTGAGTTCAACTAACCCCAGATTAAAAGAACCATAGGAAACATTATATAAAATTATATAAAATAACCATAGGAAAACATTAATTTCCAACCAGCAAGTAAACAACAGTTGAACGAGTCTTTTAATTTTTTTTTAACAATTTAAAAAAATATTTATTTTTTGACTGCATTGGATCTTGGTTGCAATTTGTGGGCTTTTCATTGCATCATGCAGGCTTAGTAGTTGTGGCGCTTGGGCTTAGTTGCCATGTGGCATGTGGGACACTAGTTCCCTGACTAGGGATCGAACCCATGTCCCCTTAATTGAAAGGTGAATTATTAACCATGAGGCTACCAGGGAAGTCCCTGAACAAGTCTTTCTTTAAATCACCAACTTCAAAATTTGGGAAAATATGTTCAGTATAGTTAAGCATCTTATGCTGCATTTATATGAAATTATAGCAAAAGTGATCAAGTGCACCCTTAATTGATTTTTACCCTTTCAGGCAGTACTGGCTTTTGTTGTAACTCTCCCTTCCATGCACAATTTTGGGTTTGTTTGAAAATAGAGTGGACCCTGAACACATGTATTATGAAAACAAGAGGACCTAGTAAATCAGATAATGTGTCCTGTTGTCTTAGCAACTGGCTTTTGTTTGAAGGTTGGCTTTAAGGATTTTTGATATCTCAACAACTCAATCAGGATTGCTTTTGACCTGTGTTTACCAGGACAAGATGAAGGATCTGACTAAGCTATGGTATAGTTGGCACCTGGTTACATGAAGAAATATAGAAACAATGGGCTTACATTAGGAGGTTATAATAAAAATGGAATTATAGCAGCTTAGTAGTATATTAGGAATTGCTGCCAGGAGGAATTCACAGAAATGGAAGATTATTATATGCCACATTATGCATACAATAAACTGAGATTCTACATATAAATACCTTTCCTGTTCTTTCATATCTTCTCTCAATAGTAATTATTGAGCACCCGTTGTATGCTAGACTCAGGTTACAATTCTGTGTCTTCATGGAGCATACTGTTTGAGCTACAATTGGGTAGGGTCCCTCTGTAAGGTCATAGGTAGAAATCATATTTCTTATATCACTGCATTAGTTTGCTAGGGGCGCCATAACAAAATACTGCACAGACTGGGTGGCTTAAACAACATAAACTTTTTTCTCAAAGTTCTGGAGGCTGGAAGTCCCAAGATCAGTGTGTCAGCAGGTTTGGTTTCTTTAGAGGCCTCTTTCCTTGACTTTCAGATGGCTGCCTTTCTACTGTGTTCTCATGTGGTCTTTCCTCTGTGCACATGTGCATCCCCAATGTCTCTGTGTATCCAAATTTCCTTGAGAGAACAGTCAGATTGGATTAGAGCCCACTCTAATTGCCTCATTTTAATTTAATTATGTCTTTAAAGATGTACTCATTAGGACTTCAATGTATGAATCCTAGGGAGACACAGTTTAGCTCATAATACTCTATCCTCTGGACCCTCAAAATTCATGTTCTTCTCATATGCAAATACAATCATGCCCATCCCAGCAGCCCAAAATTCTTAACCCATTCCAGCATCAATTCTTAAGTCTTAAATCTTATCTAAATGAAGTATGGATGAGAGATACCAATCAAGGTATAAGTCATCCTGGGCTTCCCAGGTGGCTGGACAGAGTAGCCTGGCAGGCTATAGTCCATGGGGTCGCAAAGAGTCAGACACAACTGAGCAACTGAGCATGCATGTGCAGCCCAGGAAGCCCTCACTCACCTTGGGCTTCCCAGCTGGTGTAGTGGTAAAGAATCTGCCTGCAATGCAGGAGATGGGGATTTGATCCCTGGGTCGGGAAGATCCCCTGGAGTAAGAAATAGCAACCCTGTCCAGTTTTCTTGCCTGGAAAATTCCATGGACAGAGGAGCCTGGCAGGCTGCAGTCCATGTCGTCGCAAAGAGTTAGACATGACTGAGTGAGTGCACACACACATAATTCATCCTAAGACAGAATTTCTCTTTAGCTGTGAACCTGTGAAATGGAACAAGTTAACTGCTTCCCAAGTATGGGAAACAGAGGATAGTCATTCCCATTCCAAAAGGAACAAATTGGAAATAAGAAAGGGGTCGCAGGTCCCAAGCAAATTTGAAATCTAGCAGGAAAATTCCATTTGATTTTAAAGCTCAAGAATAATCCTTTTTGGGTTAATACTGTCCTCCAGGCCCACTGGTGTGGTGGGCCCACTCAGGTGGTAGCCTTGCCTACTGAAACCACCCTAATGGCCTCATTTTAACTTAATCACCTCTTTAAAGACCTCATCTTCAAATCTAGTCACATTCTGAGGTACTGAGGGTTCAACATTTGAATTAAGGGGGGGAATGTATTTTAGCCCATAACAGTCACTCAGCATGAGTAATCAGCTGTCAAACTTTGTTAGTTTTGCCTGTGTTAATAATACTGTTTTCTTCCAGTACTATGAAGTATTCCTTTGACAGTCCCCATTGGAGCCCTGCCTTCTGTTTCACGAAGGTGGGTACTGGCGTGAGCTCACAGTCCAAACCAATAGCCAAGGGCACACAATGGCCATCATCATTTTTCATTCCCAGGAATTAACGCAGAGACTCAAGGAATGACACGGGGCAGCTTCTATAGTAATCCTTACTATCAGTATGCTGTAGTTGGTGTTGAGAGGTTTCAGAGTAAATAGCAGATACAAAGCATCCATGGAACGTTTGTATGCATTAGAAAGAAGGGTTAGAGATGATGAGGAGAAGGAGATGGCCAGGATTCTCTTAACCATGCTGCTGGCATAATCAAACTAAAGGGACAGGCTCCGTTACCAAGTTAGTTATCACAGAAGGACTCCCTAAGGTTTTTCACAAGAACTTTGCCCACGGAAGTTATTAGGTGCTCTACCAACTTCAAAAAGGCAATTTAATAGATACTAGAATATAGAGCTTCTCCAGTGGCTCAGATGGTAAAGAATCCACCTGCAATGCAGGAGACCTGGATTTGATCCTTAAGTCTAGAAACTCCCCTGGAGAAGGAAATGGCAACGCACTCCAATATTCTTACCTAGAGAATTCCATGGACAGAGGAGCCTGGAGGGCTACAGTCCATGGGGTCATAAAGAGTCAGATGTGACTGAGAGACTAATACTTTCACTTTTTTTTCAGAATGTGGTCAGAATTTCATAATCCACATAATACTTTTACATTTGTAATACACTTAGAACTTTCAAACATTCCAGCATTAAAATATTCTTGTACTTACATGATCATCTCAAGTAATTTGTGAAGTAGACTAGAGAAGGAGAGGGTGGCATAGAGGTACCCAAGGTTACAGGGCCAGTAAATAAATGCCAAGAGCCGACTCATTGGAAAAGACCCTGATACTGGGAAAGATTGAGGGCAGGAAGAGAAGGGGGTGACAGAGGATGAGATGGTTGGATAGCATCATCAAATCAATGGACATGAGTTAGAGCAAGCTCTGGGAGATGGTGAAGAACAGGGAAGACTGGCATGCTGCAATCCATGGGGTTGCAAAGAGTCAGACACAATTTAAGAGATTAACAACAACAACAGAATAGCAAGGCTAAGGCTTGAACCTACATCATTGATTCCTGGCCTTTTAACTCTATAGCTCCAGCATTGTTTATTGTCATATGTCCTTGTGTCAAGCTAATGGATAGGGCTCTCTGTAGTGATACAAGAATTTTAAAACATTTGGGACTTGAAGAAAGGATTTAGTTATTATGGTCATTCTCTTCCATGCCCTTTCTTTCCTTTCTCCTAGGATGCATGTCTTCTGAGGTGGTATTTGGATGGGTGGGTGGGATATTTGAAACAGAAGTATGAAGCGAATTGAAAGGTTATTGTTGCTTTGTGATGGAACAAAAGCTTAGTTAAGCTCCTTTGTTACAACAAGAATAAGTGTCACAGTTTCTTTAGAGAATTATTAAAGATGATCAAACCAGACAAAGTGCCATGTCTATGGTACTTTAGGATTTGTCAAAACCTAATAAGCAAAGCAATGCTTCTGCTGAAATGTGAAAATAATATTTTTTTTGGTTCTACAGATCATTGCTTTATGTTAAGTGTTATTTATAATAGGATTTGAGAAATGTACCTTCTTGTCTGACTGCTGCAGGGCTGATTACCATAGAGCTTGAAGAGAACATTATCAGAGATGAGTTTTTGCTTGACTCCTGATTTTGTGCTCTGGGCATGAGGAGCTCTCTGTTCAGAAGGAAGCTGTAAAGGAGTTTTTCACCAAAGGGCCAGGAGCAGTCTGTGACTTAACATCACTTTACTTCCAGGATAGATAAACCTGGGACAGCCCCACAGCAAGCTGGAGGCTAATGGCTTGCTATATCCTGGGTTGTAGATTAGTGAGGCAGAGCTACTGATGGCTGAGTGACTGCATGTACCTCCATCCCCTGAGAGGGGAACACCAGCAGAGCTCTCAGGGCCATGTCATGGAGGCTTTGTCTCCTAGCTGAGATGCTGGGGGCTCCTTCTCCAGCCAACCACAGAGATAGGTTGGCCTGCCATTCCAAAGGGCTGTCTTCTTTTATTCTTTTGTAGCACAATGACCCATTGCAGCCATCAGCAGTCCCCCTACCAGCTCCTCTTTGGAGACCCCTGCATCTTTGAAGATCTCCTAGGCTTGAAGATCTGCATGTCTCCGGATGCCTTTTTCCAGGTCAACACTGCTGATGCAGAGATGCTGTATTGAACTGTGGGCGAGCTGAGTGGAGTGAACTCTAACACTGTCCTCCTTGACGTCTGCTGTGGAACCGACAAGTGGCAGCCCAGGGCAGAATCTGCATGCAGCTTATCTCCCTAACACCATCCACCCTGCACCCAGGGCCCTTGCAGACTGGGAGGTTGTGGTAGTGGTATTGGCATAACCTTACGGGTCTAATACCCTCCTCTTATTCTCTCCTACTTCTTCAGGTGTGATCGGCCTCTCTCTGGCCCAGTATACCTCCTCCGTCCTTGAGATTGAGTTGGTGGAGCAGGCAGTAGAGGATGCCTGGTGGACAGCAGCCTTCAAAGGTACACTGCTTACCTTCTGGGGAGTTGTTGTTCCTCTGCCATGGGAAAGGTTGTGTGGGAAAGAGCATGCAATGTATCCACAACTGTGGGGAGGAAGGGAAAGTATTCTGGAGTGGTCAGAGTTGGATCCTGATGGTTTTCCAAAAGAGGTCCCCATAACTAATCCCCCCCCCTTTTTTTTAATTTGAAGTATAGTTGATTTATGTGAAGTGAGTGAAAGTCGCTCAGTTGTGTCCGACTCTTTGTGACCCTATGGGCTGCAGCCTGCCAGGTTCCTCTGTCCATGGAATTGCCAGGCAAGAATACTGGAGTGGGTTGCCATTTCCTTCCCTAATAGTTGATTTATAGTGTTGTGTTAATTTCAGGTGTACAGCAAAATTATTCATGTGTGTGTGTGTATATATATATATGATAGATTCTTTTTCAGATTATTTTCCCTTATAAGTTGTTACAAAATATTGAGTGTAGTTCCCTGTCCTAAGCAATAGGTCCTTGTTGGTTACCTATTTTACATATAGTAGTATGTATCTGTTAATTTATCCCACCTGAATTTATCCCAAACTCCTAATTTATCCCTCCCGAATAATTCTTTTTTTCTATCCAGAAAAAGCCTAAAGAAAGGAATAAGCCTAGCTGATAGAAAGGGAACTTGGCAAAGCTTTAATATAAAAGAGCCTTCTTGACATTAGACTTAGGAGGCATCATAACATAATACAGTCGGTTTCAAACTATTTTTAGCAATAGGATCTTTTCTTTGAACAAAATCTTCTGCCAAATGCAACATATAAAAAAGATTTTCTCTCCCCCTCTACCTCACCTCCAGACAGTTACTGAGGCTCTGTGTGAAAGCCTGCAATATAGCAGAAGGAGCACTTGAGTTATAGTCAAGATTCTCTTCTTGGTATAGGTCCTTAAGTACTGTGTGAGTTGCTGAGTTGTAAAATAATACATCTAGTCTCTCAAGGTGAAAATCTCACTGAGATGCTGCAAGGGAAGTACATTGGAAAAAATGAAGCAGGTCCAAAGCATTTCTTTCATTGTTAGGCAGAAATATGCTAGATCCAAAGGGAAGATCACTGGCTTCTGCATGTTTCCATAAAGCTGAAGCTCCCCACCCCCAACTGCTGGGCTTGTTCTTTTTTTTCATTTATTTATTTTTATTTGAAGGATAATTGCCTTACAGTATTGTGTTGGTTTCTACCAAACATCAGCATGAATCAGCCATAGGTTTGCCCATGTCCCTCCCCCACTTGAACATCCCTCTCATCTCCCTCCCTGTTCCACCCCTCTAGGTTGTTACCAAGCCCTGGTTATGGCACGTGGGCCTCTCTTTTGCAGGCATCACCAACTGTGAATTCCACCCTGGTCAAGCAGAGAAGATTTTGCCACAGCTACTAAAGTCAAAGGAAGATGGGCAGTTGATTGTTGCTGTGGTGAACCCAGCCCGGGCGGGACTGTGTAAGGATGACTAGCTTTCCTGCTACAGAGCAAGTTAGCTGTTTCCATGATGTCCACCAGCTTTGGTTCCTCATTTCTACACCTTGTTAAGGCTGCTCTCAGTGGGCTGGTTCTGAACCTGCTTCTCCTCTTTATTCCTAACCAGCCCTGTGTGCTTACCAGTTGGGAGTTTGTGATAACCTGGACTGTGATAGTTTGATTATATTGATAGCAACATGTTTCCTCCTTCAGACTACTAGGTGGTTCAAGCCATTTGCAACTGTGGGGCCATCCACACTCTAGTTTTTGTTTCCTGCAAGCCCCATGGTGTAACCACAAGGAACATCATTGAGTGAGTCTTGACTTCATTTTCAGATTATCTTTTCCTGATGATCAAAGTAATCCTTATTGTTATGTTTATTGTGCAGAATTTGGAAAGCATAGAGAAGTGAAAAGAAATTAAAAAGTCATTATACTATCATCAAGCGTTAGTTATGGGGCTTGGATCTTGGATGAGGCAAGTAAAGCAACCCACATGGGTATAAAATTTAAGAGGATACCCCAAAGCTTAGTAATCAAGACACATTTAAAAAATTATTTATGTATTGATTTACTTTTGGTTGCACTGGGTCTTTGTTGCTGTGGAGGGGCCTTCTCTTAACTCATAGCATGGGCTCTAGGTACGAGGGTTCAGCAATTGTGGCACGTAGGCCCAGCTGCCTCGAGGCGTGTGGAATCTTCCCAGATAAGGGATCGAACTTTTGTCCCCCTCATTGGCAGACAGATTCTTTTTTTTTTTTTTTTTTAAATTTTTATTTTATTTTTTT